CTTCCAACCACCATAAATCACAAGAGGTACGTTAGGCTCGTGTCATTAAGCGCTTCTTGGGAGGCAACCCAAGAGTGTTGAGTCAGTCCTTTTCAATTTATTTATTTATTTATTTTTGTTATTTGTTATTTTGATTATGTTTTTACATTCCTGTTTTGTGTGGAGACAATTGAGATGTTATGATGTTTAGATATCTTTTGATATATGTTGACTTGATGCTTTAACCAGTGTGAGTGTGTTACCTGCGCAGAATTTCTTATTCTTTGCCTAGTTTAGTTTTTATTGCTGGGGACAGCAATGTTCTAAATCTGGAAATTGGGCGCACCACATGCGGTACAGCGAAACCAGAAAGAAATGACCTCCAATAGAAAAAAAATTTGAATCAGGGGAGATATCTGAACCTTTTGTCTCATTTTTTGTTGATATTTTTGTTTTGTTTTGATATTTGGTTTTGATAGAAGAAATTCTCTGAGAAACATACCTGGATATGTGTTAGCTACTCATGCAATAAGATGATTAAATCTAAGAGAGCATATAAGATACTGTGTGAGAAGTCATAATGGATAAATGTTTTGAGTAATGCATTGAAGTATAAGAGTTGTTATTGCTCGTTTGATTGAATTCTTTGTTGAGAGTTAAAGTTGATATGTGATGATAATGGAATTTAGATTCTAGTTTGATTGCACAGTCGTGAGGTTTGAGCCTATACAGTAATTTTTTTTAGAGAGGCCTCACTGTGATAATACTCTAGAACTTGATATGTTTTACATGTTCCTCATCTTTAGAAACTTGAGAATAGGATCAAGCTTATGGCAGTCTTATTGCACTGATGGATTGAGAGTTAAATCCAATACACAAGAGTGACAAGTGCAGTGATTATCCTGGTAAAAAGTGATCAAACTAGATTCTAATTCCTTACACAAAAAGTGATTCCTGAAAATTCTCAACTTGGAATTCACTCATGCATAGCATTATAACTCTGAATCTCTTCAATGTAGAAAATTGCATTAGTGACATAAATTCTTCTCACAGAGTTAATCCTTGTTGCCTGATGTTTGATCTTATTTATTATTGGGGACATCAACATCAAAATCTGGGAATTGTTTGATATGCGTCTAACATATGGTGATTTCTAAGTAAAAGAAGCAAGGAATTAATCATAAATGTGTGAAAATAAGCTCATAAATACAAGAAATATTGATTATTCCTTCTCAATCATTCTCTCACTCAAATTATCCATTTTGATAGCAAGAAACACCAAAAAAAAGTGAAAGAGAGAAGTTGAAATTGCATAGTCTCGCGCAAAACGCGCGAAAATGGCGCGATCCGCGTGATTTTGGCAAATTACTTTCTGTTTGTCCGCGCGATCCGCGCGGATTCGGCGCTGATCGCGCAGGCGTCATGAATGCAGTCCTTGATTTGTGGAGTCGCGAATTTGGCACTGATCGCGCGAGCGTCATGAATGCATTCCTTGATTTGTGGAGTTTGATGAAAATGGAAATTTAATCAAATTAATGAGAGGATTATGACCTGATTGATTGGTGGAATTATAAGAAAAATGGAAATTTAATCAGAATTAATTAGAGGATATGACCTGATTGATTGGTGGAATTATGAGGAAAATGGAAATTTAATCAAAATTAATTCAAGGATTATGACCTGATTGAGTAGCTGGCTATATAAAGGAAGCAGAAACTCTAAAAGAAAATTATCTTTTGGCAAGGAGAAATTGGAGAGGAAGCTCTCGGTGACTGAAGATTCAAGACTTCTTCTTCTTCTTCTGGTTTTACATTTTCATGAACTCTTTCTCATTATTTAAATTGTCAGACATGAATATGTCTGGCTAGTCTTTTATTATTGTGGTAAGGGTCACAACCTTTGATGTGAACCCCTTGTAGTTTGGTAAATTTATATTTAATTATTTCAATTGCATTTATTTTATCTTGTTTTTCATCTACAATTCTTTTAGAATTGATCACTCTATTAAGATTGCGAGGGTTAGGGTTTTCAATAGGAATATTGGGATTCTAGTTCCTGACAAATGGTAAAATAACAGTTCATGTATGCACTAGGGATAGGCTACATGAACTGCAAACGAGGAAAATTCACTGGGTTAAAGGATTAACTTGAAAAAGGATTTCTAAGGGATTAGGATTCTAATAGGGTTAATAAAGTTAAGATCACTAAGGGATTAGGGCTTAACTAATTAATTAATAGATGGTGAATTGTTTGATCAATTGGGTAATTAAATGTAAACATTAATTAATATTACAAGGTGGTGATCGGAAAGGTGTTGGCGTCCTTTACTGCAATAGCTTTTAAATATTTTTCTCAATCTTAATCTTTTATTTTCAAGTTTTCAAAAATCATCTTCTGAATTGTTCACAGGTTTTGAATAGTTCACAATTTTCACAAGCACAATTACTCTCAAACCAACTTTTATACATCCAATAAGAAAGGAATAGTTAAAATAAATTCGGTGCCTCAATCCTCGTGGGACGATATTCTTACTCATATTTTATTACTTGGTACGATCGGTGCACTTGCTGATTTTACGCAACAAGTTTTTGGCGCTGTTGCCGGGGATTGACAACGCTAATTTTATTCTTAACTTTTGAATTTCTTGATTGGATTTTGTTTTTGTTACTAATCTTGTTGCTTGAGTTTATGCGAGGTAAAGTAAATCGAGACACTTTACAGTTTGATCCAGAAATATTGAAAATTGCAAAGAAGAACCGAAAGCTAGCCAAGCAAATAAAGCAGGAAGAGTCTTCGAGTTCTAAGCCAAACATAGAACCAGTGATGGCAACCCCTGATCCACCTCCCAGAGGAGAGTTGATGGAGTCAGTTCTAGCTCCCATGTTCACTAGGCTGAACTCTAGCATTGTCAGGCCACAGATAGATGCCAACAACTATGACATCCAACCGTCTCTGATTACCTTGGTGGAGAAGACTCCTTTCGGTGGAGAGGATTACGAAGATCCTCACGACTTTATGGACAGATTTCTAAGAATCTGTGACACCGCTAAGCATCATGGGGTATCTGATGATGCAATCAGACTTCGGCTGTTTCCTTTTGCATTAACCGGAAAATCCCTCAGATGGTTGGATAGACAAACCCCCAACAGCATCACAACGTGGGAGAATTTGGCTGCTAAATTCTTTGCGGAGCACTTCTCCAGGGAAAAATACAACAAGTTGGTGAATGAGATCACCACCTTCACTCAACATCCGGGAGAAACTTTATGTTCAGCTTGGACCAGGTTCCAAGAATTGATCAGGAAGTGTCACCTGTATTACTTGTCGGAAGGAAAGAAAGCCAGAGTCTTCTATAACAGAATGACACCGGAATCCAGGATGGTGGTCAATGGTGCAGCTGGAGGAACCATAGCAAGGAAGACAACAGCTGAAACTTTAGAGTTAATCGAAAACATGGCAAGAGCTGATAATGCTTCAATGGAATACAAAAACATCAGTAAACGATAATATAGTTTTTTTTTTGGGCAATGAGATATGAAGCTCTACACAGATGAAATTTTCTTGATGATATGTGAATAGATTTTTTCTTGGGTTTAGTTGATGGATGGGTCTTGGGTTTAGACATTTTTTGGCTATGATTGGGGAAAGGGCCAAGTAGATAGAGAGAAATTAATATATTGGATCGGTTTTGATTGGATCGGTTTTCATCAACCAATCCGAAATTCGATCCAATCCAATTAAAATTTGCGATTTTTTTTCGATTTTCGGTTTTCGGTTTATTCGGTTATCGGTTTTTCGGTTCGGTCACCGCGGTTTGAATTGGTTTGGATCGGTTGATGAACACCTCTAACAATAACATATGCAAAAAGTAGTGGATCATTAATAGATGTGTCTTCCACCATATAATTTGAACTATTTTTCCCACCCATAATTTTGAAAATTCGATTTTTAAAATTTTTCAAAAGAAGAAACATTTCAAATTTTTTCAAGTGTAAACACAAATCTGAGAATAAAGGAGAGAGTGACACATCAACAAAGTTGCCAAAGTTTGGATGAAGATTTTATATATTAAGATAGATAGACATTATTTTATTGGGTGCCTACCATAATAGTTAAAATTGAAATTTTACCTAAAATTGAAAAGAAGATAAAAAAACATAAAACAAAAAATTTTAAAGTAAAAAAATTATAAAAATATTATATGTTTGATTGATCTTTTGTTGGACAAGGATGTGTAATTTATTATTTTCATATTAAAATATTTGAAATTGGTATATTTTTTTACAAGTATTTAAGTATATTTATAGTTTTTTTAATATAAATTGTAGATTTACATATACTTACCGGGTCATGCAGTTGAACCAATGATCCACTGGTTGAATCAGTGACCCAGTACCTCGACCGGGTCAATAATCGAGCCGGGTTTAATAACATTGCCCCAAATTGGGGGAACTTTAATTTTACGAAGGAGGGTTTTGTAGGGTTTAGTAAAAATCCTCAATTTCTTCCCCTCCTTTTTTTTTAACTCCCAAACAAGGGAAGAACTTACTAAAACCCACAATTTCCTTTCCTTCCCCTCCTAAAACCAACTCCCAAACAAAGCTAGATGGACAAACCCGTTTTCCTACTTTTAAATGTTTTTATTTGATTTAATTGGGCCCATATTTTGAAATAAGTCAACTAATTATTTTTGTGATTAAGTTTGGAAGTCTTTCTTTTTTAAAATAATAGGAGTAAGAATAAATATCATAACTGATTACAATAAAGTAGAAAAAAATATAAAGGATAAAAAATAAAAAAAGGTAAAACACAAAAAAAAACATATTATACTTGTTCCTTATTATTTTAGTTAATTATAATTAATTATATTTACAACCCAAATAATTTGCAAACTCTCAACCATATATTACAACCATATCTTACAACCAAATACTTAATTAAATAATAAGTAAAAAAAAAAAAAGTATGTCACTGCCTCTTCTAATTCGTGTTTCGTATCAGATACCGCAAACCGAGTCGCCTTAACGCCATGGACGACCAAAAACCTCAATCTCAACCTTTTCATCTAATAGAACCATCTCGTCAAAATCTTTTTGCTGAAAATTAGGAACCTTCCAAGTACTAACCACTCTGGTCATAATCCTCCACTCTTCCTCAGTAGGACTAAGATCTTTTATCAAATCATATTTGGAATACATAATGAAACTTATATCAAATAATATTGGCTGAAAGCTTTTGAGGAGAAGAAGAGAAACAAACAGAAACGAACAAATATGACTAAATAAGATTATTACCAAACAAAAGCCTGTTGTTCCAAAACACTTATTTATACACGAATAATTTGAATTTTTCAATTTTTTTGTCCTTTAAAAAATGTATTTCCAAAGATGAAAACAATTATTAGTCCTCACAATAACTAGGTATGTTCGCGGTCTGGATTGGATTGATTTTGGAAGCAAAAATCATCTGATCCAATCCCTTCGGTTTGATAATGTAATCATCGATTCGATTTGAATTTTTTTTCAAATTCGATCCGATCCAATCCAATTTTTTTCGGTTTGGATTGGATCGATTTTCGGTTTTTTGAAAATCCAAAATTTGTTTCATTATTATTGTGCAAATAACATCTTTTCTATATATTGTCGTTGTAATTTTTTTTTTGAAATACAAAAACATCAGTAAACGATAATATAGTTTTTTTTTTGGCAATGAGATATGAAGCTCTACACAGAGGCAATTTTTTTGATAAGATGTGAATAGATTTTTTCTTGGGTTTACTTGATGGATGGGTCTTGGGTTTAGAAATTTTTGGGCTATGATTGGGGAAAGGGCCAAGTAGATAGAGGGAAATTAATATATTGGATCGGTTTTCATCAACCAATCCGAAATTTGATCCAATCCAATTAAAATTTGCGGGTTTTTTTTTAATTTTCGATTTTTCGGTTTACGGTTTATTCGGTTCGGTCACCACGGTTTGAATTGGTTTGGATCGGTTGATGAACAGCTCTAACAATAACCCATGCAGAAAATAGTGGATCATTAATAGTTAAAATTTAAATTTTACCTAAAATTGAAAAGAAGATAAAAAATCGTAAAACAAAATATTTTAAAGTAAATAAATTATAAAAATATTATATGTTTGATTGATCTTTTGTTGGACAATGATGTGTAATTCATTATTTTCATATTAAAATATTTGAAATTGGTATATTTTTTTACAAGTGTCTAAGTATATTTATAGTTTTTTTAATATAAATTGTAGATTTACATATACTTACCGGGTCATGCAGTTGAACCAGTGATCCACTGGTTGAATCAGTGACCTAGTACCTCGACCGGGTCAATAATCGGGTCGGGTTTAATAACATTGCCCCAAATTGGGGGAACTTTAATTTTAAGAAGAAAGAGGGTTTTGTAGGGTTTAATAAAAATCTCCAATTTCTTTCCCTCTTTTTTTTTTAACTCCCAAAAAAGGGAAGAACTTACTAAAACCCTCAATTTCCTTTTCTTCCCAGCCTAAAACTAACTCCCAAACAAAGCTAGAAGGACATACCTTTTTCCTACTTTTAAATGTTTTTAATTGGTTTAATTGGACCCATATTTTAAAATAAGTCAACTAATTATTTTTGTGACTAAGTTTAGAAGTCTTTCTTTTTTAAAATAACTAGTGAATTACCCGTGCCGATGCACGGGAAAAAAAATTGGTTTGTTTGGCATGGTGGGTCGGCCCTCTGGGCCGAACTCATTTTGTCAGTATTTCAAAGGTCCCAAACAGTCATTTTTTTAAATAACAAAACAGTCATTCATTGTTACATTAAAAATAGGAAAGAAAATAGGATAATAAAGGTCATATCTTTGAAGATAGATGAGGAAAAGAGACGCGAATAAACAGTCTTTTTTTTTGTCTTTACCTGTACCATACAACGAAGTTATATCTTTGAAGAAAGAACCCAATATACTATAACAGTCTTTGAAATACTTCCTTGTAAACTATTAAGGGTACTATTCGTAACGCAGCCATTTTCATCAAGTATCAATATCTTCAATCCATGCTTACTCTTTACTCTAGACAGTGCCATATATAATTGCCCATGAGTGAAGACATGCTTAGGGAGATAAATTGCAACATGTGAAAGTGATTGTCCTTGACTCTTGTTGATAGTCATGGCAAACGATACAATCAGAGGGAATTGTCTTCTTTGGAAATTTACAGGAAATGTATGACTCGATGGGCTCATCGTCATTCTAGGGATTAACACAGTTTCCCCTATATTGCTTCCTGTAAGTACAATTACCTCAACAACATGATTCCCTAATTTTGTAATAAGCAATCTCGTGCCATTGCATAAACCTCTCGACTGATCAATATTTCTTAATAGCATTACTGGAACTTTAACTTTCAAGATTAATTTATTATCAGGAATCCCTGAGCATGATAACGTATTTAAGATCTCAGGGGTGATTTCATCATCCTCAACAGAGGAAGTCCCACCTTGCTTAAGAATTTTATCCGAACTCAAAAAAGTCCTTTCTTCACCAAGAATCATAGACATTAGGTGCTCGTTTAGCATAGCAACATCGGACAATTTAGGAGTTAGAATAGCACGTTCTTTAAAGAAGGTCTGATCCAAAATATTATCCAAGAGATTCGGATAAACAAAATTAACCATATCCGACAGCGGATCTTCCGATTCTCTAATCAACAATTCATCTGTAATTGTTATAATAGATTCTCCATCAACATCATCTCCAAGATTACCATCCCCAACTTTAAGTAGCCACTCAGAAAATTCTTTTATTTCCTCTAAATTGTGAGCGCTACTTCCAGAATTAAGACGCATGTTCTTGGTCAAAGTTAATAAATGACAATGGGACCATAGATGAGAAGAATTGATGGTTGCATGAACTATATCTTGTCTGCTACCATGAGGAATGACAGGTAATATTTTCCGAAAGTCACCTCCTAGAACAACAACTTTTCCACCAAATGGCATATCAACACAGCTTGTATCAGAAATTCTAAGAACATCTCTCAGTGTCCTATCCAGAGCCTCAAAGCAAAATCTATGTACCATTGGAGCTTCATCCCAAATGATTAACTTTGTTTTTGACAGCAACTCAGTTATAGTAGATTTCGGCCTTATATTACACGTTGAATCTTCATGATTTGAATAGGAATACGAAATCTAGAATGCGCTGTTCGTCCTCCAGGAAGCAGAAGGGAAGCAATTCCGCTAGAAGCAACATTAAGTACGATTCCAGCTTTTGATCTAATAGATGCTGAAAGAGTATTCCAAATAAATGCTTTTCCTATACCACCGAACCCGTATAGGAAAAATAACCCTCTATTACCTGACGTAACTGCTGAAACAATTTTATCATAAACAGCTTTCTGCTCATCAGTGAGGGAATTAATTAGTCTTTTATGCTCCTCTTCCAAAGCAAATCTATCATGCATTAATTCATCCAACACTAATCGATTTTTCATATCAAGCAAAGTTTCACTATTGATGTGTGGCATTGACGGATAATCAGAGAGGCATTTCCCATTGCTCTGCAGTACCTTATCAATTTCTTCAAGAGTTATGTTTTTTATAGACTCTTCTGTAAGAATTGCATCTGACAAAGCATAAAATTCAAAGGAAAAAAAATTTAAAAATTAACAAAGATAAAGTAATCAAAGAAAGAAAAGAGAGCGAATAATTTATCAACATTTGCTGAATACGGGCAAAAAAAGCTAATAAGTACTAAGGCAGCATATGCTGATTTCGGTTAAACAAAAAAAAAATTGTATGAAATATTATTATAACACGTACCTTGACGTCCTATTATTTTCCTATGCCGATAAACAACGTCGTCGGATAAAAATTTCAAACACTCTTCCCAAACTTTTTCAGGTCTGTTCATTGAGTTGGCAAATAACAACAGAGCAAACATGCATCTAAGATAAGCAGCAGATCCCCATGAACTTGCCTCCTTAATTGCATCAATGTACTCATTGTCATCATCCAGAAGTCCTAAAGAATAGCACGCATCCTTAAATGTAGGAAAAACCACGCCATTGATCGTTCTAAGATCTTCATAACTGGTGCAACCTCTTTGAAAATTAAGCAAGGTGCGAAGATATGAATCTTCTCCATTATTGGCAGAAAAACGATTTATCCTTCCAATGGAAAATCCTTTTTTTCTCGGATTCCATTCATGTGTTTTTTCTTTGAAAACAAATTCAGTCGGGTACTCTCCATAAGTTAGATGCCTACCTTCTGGATATTTTTTATTTGCATCCATCCAAAACTCAAAAATTGACAGTCTAGACTCCGCCCTTGTCTTTACATCATACAACGAATCATTATCACTGAAAATAATGTTCTTTTCATTAGGCAAGTGAAATGACAATATCTGAACAGGGGGATATCTTGAATGAATGTCAAATCCAAATATTCTCCAAGCTGCTTCACATGCGGAGATATACCTATCATAAATAAATAAATCGGTGAACATTTAAGTTAATAATTTCTCAAAAAAATTGTGCCAATTTTGTAGGAAAGAAAAACACAATGGAGATTATTTTTAGTACCTGCAGTCATAAAACATTTTTATTTCATCGTCCGAATGATTTATGGCAGTTGCCACTCTGTCATTCCCTTTGTGGATGTATTTAAAAAGATATTTAATGGCACTTCTCTGGCAAGTATATTCAACGTTGATATGAGCCTGGTACTTTAAAAGAAGGTGTGCATTATAGGGCACAACATAACGATTATCAAGTTCAACACCATTTTTGTTCACAACTCTCCCATCATTTCTTCTCTTATAATGAGGAAATCCATCATCGTCAATCAAAGTACGGGAGCAGAAGTTTTTTGGAAAAATTTTTGAACACCGTCAGTCCTTCATGCAAGGAGATTTGTAATTTTCAGGACCACATGGACCATGTATCATGTAACTCGTGACAGCCATAAACAGCGTAGGATTCGTTTCCTTGTCAGGTATCTCCGCTGAAATCAATTTATCAATATCAAGAGCACTTTCAGCTTTGCTTGAAGGGTTCAAGAATAGAAGAATATGAGCATGAGGTAGTCCGCGCTTTTGGAATTCGATTGTACAAACATCTGTTACATTCAAAGAATATAACATAAGTAATAATAAGAATACAACAACGTTATATAAAGACTCAATGCATGACGTAAAATTTTTTGTATAAAATCCAGTTAACAAAAAGAGTATCAAGTTTATAATAT